TTAAGACCACTTCCTGCCTTCTGTTTTCAGGTCATAGAATGGCTTCTGCAAATCAATTTCACATTTTAAAATGTTTACATAAGAAGTCACAGCTATTTCTAATAATACTTTGGCTCCGATGGCATACCTGAATAATCCCAGGCGATTCCAAACCCAGCACCTCACAATATATGTTCATTGTAGGCCATGCCTGCATGACTTATGACCCACCATGCTGAGAATACCCCACCAGCCATGAATTGTAGTTCAAGGTCTAGATAAACCTCCCGGTTTTGTCATTTTTGCAATCCTAACCAAATCCTTTGTTGGCCACTATACAAGCCTAGCGAATTTCTAAGGTGGCCATGTGTCCTACTTTACAGAGAATAGCCCTTGTTTCAAACGGCTGTTGGAGTACAGTCCTCTGTTTGAAGATGTCCTCTATGCAAGTATGGAGCCATTAAATGGAGGAGCAGGAACCTCAAAGTTGCCCATCAACAGTTAGCAGACTTGAACAGGTATTCAAGTCACTTGATGACTTATTGACTATAGTGAAACGTATTGGATTTCTATTCAACTGATAGTAATTATTTAAAAGCTTTCAGTTATGCATATAAATAATCATATGCAATGTTTATGCAAATTGATGTCCTCTTTTGTGGCACTGCATAACTGGCAACCCTTGTCACAAGTTGTGCAGGCCTCATGCACATAAATACATGATTAACAGAGCTAGTATTTTCTTCTTGTTGTTGGGCCATAAGTCACTGAGTTGGAAAGCTGGCAAAACAAAAAGCAAGAGGCCAGCAGCTGTCATGTAAAGGAGGAGCTAGGTATTTAGTAAGTAGTAAAATTAAACCTTGCTCCATTTCATCATTTTCTTCTTTTAATTATGCCTGTATTATTCCTCTTCCCTTTCCCCTCAAGTGGACCGTGTGCTTTATAGATCAATAAAGGTGTGGTTTATGAGAGGGATGTGTATTCTGTGATTGTGTTCTCTGAGGGGACAAATTTAGTGCCCTTTCCCCTCCCATTAAAACCAGTGATTTAGAAAGGGGCAGGACTGGGAAGATAGCAGTAGTCTACAGATAGGACAAATGATAGCAAAGCAGTGGAATGAAAGAATCTGAAGTTGACTGATTGCATTTAGCCCAGAGGTCACAATCAAGAAAAAGAGTCATAGAGATAAGGTGCTGTAAAACTTTTCAGAAGAACAAAAGCTCCTGCTAACAAGTCAGCAAAGGCTGCAAAATCTCCAGGCAGCTTGCTTCCACTCCCTTAGTTGTTGCTGTCCCTCCAAAGGGAACAGACTGAATGGAAGGGTGTGTTGGGGGGCTACAAATACACCTGATTGTGTGGCGACGCCCTGGGGCCCAAAGCTCCCCTTAGATAATAAACATATGGACACAAATATTTTGAGTCAATGGGATAAATAAGGCCACAACTTTATTGGTTACAGATGTGAGCAGTTTGGCTTAGACATTGTGTGAAACCGACTCCTGCACGCTTGCAGGAAGTCTCTTAAGGGTTAACCTATGATATGCATCAATTAAGAGAACCCCCAGGGTCGCTGATGGGGTTGTGGCATCACCCTAGCCCACACCCAGGATCCCAGACAGGATCCACATCCCCGGATCCCTTTAACAGAATACCTTTAATGAGGAGGGGCAGGTGAAGGCAACAACCTCCCCTCCTCATTAACTAGGCTTACCCAATGCCTAACCACCTAACCATACAAAGTTGTGACGATTGCTACAAGGTAGGCGAAAACACAATGGCTGGTGCTAATTTGCCAAGTGGAAAAATTCCTACCTGGCCCCAACATTAGTCCAACATTGGCGACCGACATTAGTCCATAGCAAGGCCAAAGTCAAGCAATGCATAACAACTCTCAATGGCTTTCCAGCCTCCAGCACCTGCTGCCTAAGTCAGCAGACCCATTGTGCTTAACAGTAAAATCACCTCTGAAGTGGACAGCTTAATGATAATGAATGGACTATGCCTTTATTTCTATGAATTTTGTGGCCTATTGGTTTGTGTGGGGAGGCAGTGTGCTATTTTGTAATAGCAGAGCCCTTCCTATTTTTCAGTAAGCTTTTCCTTCTGCAAATGGAGGTGTGCATTCCAGAGCTGGTTGTATGCCATTCAACAAAGTGAGGTGATTCAATTCAGTCAGCAGGTTTTCAGGACTAATAAAGGTCAGCAAATTGTTGGTTATTTCATTCATATATATATATATATATATATATATATATATATATATGGATGGCACTGATTTCTTTCTGCAGACCAACTATTGTGTGGGGGAGGGACGCGGATGGCACTGTAGTCTAAACCACTGAGCCTCTTGGGCTTGCCAATCAGAAGGTTGATGGTTCGAATCCCCACAATGGAGTGAGCTCCCATTGCTCTGTCCCAGCTCCTGCCAACCTAGCAGTTCAAAAACATGCCAGGGCAAGTAGATAAATAGATACGGCTGCAGCAGGAAGGTAAACGCTCTGTGCGCTCTGGTTTCTGTCATGGTGTTCTGTTGCGCAAGAAGCAGTTTAGTCATGCTCACCACATGACCCAGAAAGCTGTCTGTGGACAAACACCGGCTCCTCGGCCTGAAAAGTGAGATGAGTGCTGCGACCCCATAGTCGCCTTTAACTGGACTTAGGGGTGCTTTACCTTCTTCCTTTGTATATTTACAAATCCAGGGGGCGGGGAGGGGACACAAATTCACCTGGCAGGAAGAAATGAAGCATGTATCCAGGAACAACGCACCCCAGAGATTTGACAAACCTATAAAAAAAGCAACACTGTAGTTTATGACTGGGTGGATAGCATTTGGATCTATCATCCAACTAACAAACATGAAAAATAGCATCATAATGGACAGTAATTCTTTTCAGAGGTGATGGTCTCATTGGTTTGGCATGTTAAAGTAAGTGGATAATGAATCAACATGGTTTCACTGTTATTTGTAAAGAAAGAAAATTATCTCCAGAGGTAATTGAAAGTTTGGAATGTTCCCATGGAGCAGAAAATAGGATATCACTGGTTTTACACAATATAAAACAGTGGAAATCCTAGTGCCGGTTTCATGCTTTTTCTCTGCATGAATGGAGATTCTCAGCGATGACTATTTTAAGTTCATTTGACTGGAGCAGTATGCACTGTACATGTATATACATAACATCTGAGGTGTGAACTTTAAATGACTTATGAAATACAGTAGAATGGGTTGGATCTAAAGAGGTATGAGCAGAGGGATGAAAAGGAGGAGCAAAAAAACTGCTCCAGCTAAGGAAAAGACACTAAGGCAAACAAGAGGGAAGGGGGTGTTGAAAGGAAGCAGCTGATCCTGTCGTAGCATCTATCTACTGCCAAAGGGGGGGGGGGGAGGTGATTCCCTGAAGCCTGACCCCTCTCTCATAACTCATGGGCATCCAATGAAACTGTGTTTTGGAAGATTCAGGACAGATAAAAGAAAGTACTTCTTCATGCAGCAACACAGTTGAACTATAGAACTTGCTTCACAGGAGGCAGAGATTACCACATACTAAAAAAAGGTAAAGGGACCCCTGACCATTAGGTCCAGTCGTGGCCGACTCTGGGGTTGCGGCGCTCATCTCGCTTTCTTGGCCGAGGGAGCTGGCGTACAGCTTCCAGGTCATGTGGCCAGCATGACTAAGCCGCTTCTGGCGAACCAGAGCAGCACACGATAACGCCGTTTACCTTCCCGCCGGAGCGGTACCTATTTATCTACTTGCACTTTGACGTGCTTTCAAACTGCTAGGTTGGCAGGAGCAGGGACCAAGCAACGGGAGCTCACCCCGTCGCGGGGATTCGAACCGCTGGCCTTCTGATCGGCAAGTCCTAGGCTCTGTGGTTTAACCCACAATGCCACCCGCATCCCTACCACATACTAGATGGCTTTAAAAGAGGATTAGACAAATTCATGGAGAAGGGCCATCAACATCATGGCTATGTTCTTCCTCCATGAATGGAGGCGGATCTCACAGGCATCCAGTTGGCTACTGTGAGAACAGGAAGCTGGACTAGATGGGCTATTGGCCTGATCCAGCGGCTCTTCTTATGTTTTTACCAAAAAGGTTTAAAACTGGGTAATTAATGGACTAAATTATTTTGATTAGTTAATAGTCCTTGTTCCGACACCTTGTTCACCAATGAAATATTTGATTACAGGTTTAGGTATTAAACAATTGATCTATTCTAGCTATTAACTACCAGAAAATCAATAGCCTGCTCAGTACCCAAAGAGTGAGACTACTAGTCTCCAATTAAAACAAAAATATCCAAGAGGAAAAAATAAATGGTTCAACAAACCCTTCAACCTTTAAGTATTAAATAATAAATTAGTGGGGGGTTTTAATCAGCAGTATGTAATACTCCAAAATCAATTATGCTTTTAAAATGGCTTAAGCTTCCATTTTACTTGTAAATTGGAAAAAGGTAGAATTTCTGCTGTTTTGTCCTTTATTTTTAAAGATGGTTCTTGAAGTTTTTCAATTTCTGAAGTTTGAGTAACATCATTCCAAAATTATATATGTCAATGTGGAGATAGTTATTCTGAAACTCCTGTTCATGTACTGATATTTTGCTCTTTGTACAAAGAGTTGTGTAAATAGATAATCACCTCATTATTATTACCTCATTCAAAGCTTTCAGTTGATTGTTATGTGACTTTTCTCCTTGTGGATCAATAAGTCAGTGACAGCAAAGGCGTCACAATTTCTAATGACTGCCATTAATTAAAATAAGGGCCATGATGATGCTCTTTGAATTTTAATTATACATACCTATATATATTATTTAGTTTAGTAGTTATATCTGCTTAGTTGTGTTATGTATTTATACTTTGTTCAGAAATCACAGTGGATGGTGGTTGGTGCAAATATTATCTTATCTATTGAAAGTAAGTGCCTACTAAATAAGAAATAAATGTATGCTGCATTACTTAGATGAAAGAACATATATAATTGCTTGTATGTGCAGTGATCAATCTTTTCTAGTGATGCCTTCAACAAGATGGGCCCAAGCTATCACTTTCTTTTCATTAGAGACAGTGGAACACAACTACAGAGATAGGGATTGTTTGTAGACAATATTAGGATGAATGTTCAAAGTTGGTAGTAAGTGGTCTATTGTACATACTCAATCAATACCTTTTCACTAGGGACTGTCTCATTATTTTTCTTGTACCTTTGACTGCAAATTTAGACTTTCATCCTTTTAACCAAATCCAAATATCTCTCACCCATTCCTTGATCCATGGTCTAGTGAAGTGTGGGGTTGATCCATGAGACTACAGAGCAAAAAAAGGGGGTCCCATTGGAGCTCTGAGCTAGGGTTTAAATACTATTTTTTAGTGGGGGCATAACTAGTAAGTATCATTTGGGGGAGGGCTTTCTGATTAAACCAACCATGCAACATCTTATCTCCTTCATAGCATTGTTTATTTCTTTTGGTTCACCATTCCGTTTAACTGGGTAAGTTTGAAGTTGAGGGACATGTCCTTGATTTTAGGAAGACCATATAGTTATATGTTTTCTGAATAGTAAATGTGGTTTTGGAAACGTTTTTCATGGTCTTTGTGAAGACTAGTTCCTTCTTACAGGAAGGCTGTACATTTTGTTGGTATGTTGATTTTTACAATTACATATGAGGAGTTGAAGAGGTTTGCTTGCACCAGTCAGATCATGTCTAAGATAGGAGCTGATACCAGTATCAGGTAGTTTATTAAGGGGTATAGTTTGTATTAAAGCAGTGCTTGCTGCACTGGTGCCATGATCTATGGTAATAAACCACTTAAGAAGAACCAGACTAGATCCCATTGTTACACTAATAAGTTTCAAAGTATTATATGCTGGCTCAGCAAACTACCATCATTACAAAGCTAGAATAGAGAAGTTGGAGTTATTAACTTTTCCAATTGCCTGTATTTTGATATTTTTATCTCTATTTACCAATAAAAATAGCATTTTAATCTAAAATGATATACACTGGTATACCGGTAGTTCTGCATGTCCTCTAATAACTCCATGTGCCAAGACACTTGAGTGTATGAAGAGATGTACCGTGAAGTTGGGAAATGGAAAGATCAGATGGGTTTGGATGTTTGTGTTAGTATCATAGTCCTCTGCATCTGGTGTATGCCCTCCTAAGCAATTTACCCAGGGCAGTCTTAACATGAGGGTACCTGACCTTGATAAATTGCTGTCCCTATTGTGTCCCAGTTTTTCCTTTGGAACAGATTTGGTATATACGTTCTTATTCTTTTCTCTATTCGAAATGTTTTTAGTGTGAATCGCTAGAGTGCCATCTGTCAGATTTCTTCTTTCCCTCCCAGTCCCTTGAATTTAAATATCTAATATGGAGAGGAGAGCCACGTTGCCGCTGGTACAAATTGACACAACTGCATGCTCATAAATGCTAAAGCACAGAATACCACGTGACTTGCCCTATCGTAAGCTGCAGCTGGCAAAGTCCCTTTTGAACTGTTGATAAAAAAAATATTGTAGAACAATCGCGTCTCCCACTCTGACTCCACCATAACTTTTACAAGCAAAGAAGATTGTTGTGCTTTGGGCAGGGCATGCTATTGCAGAGAAAAGGAAAGGCACAGAGGTAGTCAAAAGGTATAGTAGTGGTCCAATAGGGGTGTTGCAGTTACACAATAATGTTTCTCTTTTCAACTGGGCCTCCCCCCCCCCTTCTCAGTTTGATTCCCTGGCACCATTTTTGTATAAATTAACTGTCCCAAAATACAGACGTGCCTTCACACTGGCCAGATTGGATATGATGCCCTCTGCCGTACTTGAGGGCAGATACCAAAAGATTCCAACTGAGAAACGACTCTGCCCCTGTGGAGATGGCAATCTAGAAACAGTGGCTCATGTTCTCCTGTCCTGTCCCCTTTATAAAGATCTGAGGAATGAGATCATCACCCCACTCTTACTTACCATCCCAGGCCGCCCATCTGCAGCCACATTGTTCTTTCTTTTATCAGATCAAAATGATCAGACAACAGCAAAGGTTGCTAGGTCTATCAAGGGTGCAATGAAATTAAGGGCCACTATCTGAACGATAATCTTGGTCATTTGAATGCCCTTTTTACCCATTGTTGTCTTTTAAATTGTATATATTGCTTGTTTTATGTTGCTATGGCCGTTGGCTAATGCAAATAAAGTTTATCTATCTTTCAACTGGGGAATGTTGGAGGATGTGTATTTTCTCTTTCCCCGTGATCTCTCCATGCTGCCTGCCTGTGTGTGTGTATGTGTGTGGAATGGAAGAAAGGGAGGCTTATTAGGGAATTATCTCTACAGTGGGGCCCTGGGGAGAGGAAAGTGTGCAAGGAGCCCCAATGCAGAGACAGTGGGATGTTGGGGAGGTGCAGTGGATAGGCTTGCTCAAAAGCAAGCTGCCTATGAAGAAGGGAGTGCAGGAACACTACACACTGAAGCCTGGATTCATATGTGCTACTACTGTGAGCCAGAGAATGCACAAATAGCAAATGGAAACAGTATGCCTCACATCTGAGAGCTGAGCTTTCTCAGCTCCCGAATTCCTGACTCCCTTGTGTGATTGAATGTGCCATCCCCACCCCATCCATTCCTTTCCTTGCACAGATATTTTAAAATGTATATCCTAGAAAAGCTTTGCCAGCATCAGAATGCATTGCCTCGCTGTGACTAAATCTGCATGGGGTTCAGCTTTGGCTGGCACACTTTCTTGAACACAGGAGGTTCTCTTGCAACTTCTCTTAACCTGACTGATACGCCGCAGCAGTGCCAGGCTTTCTGTCAATCTCGCCCCTTTCCTCCCTGCGGTGATTCTCCAGCAATGGCATCAAACTCTGTTTGGATCCAGCTGGGCTTATGCTCTTGTCTTTCTGGCTAGGAAAAGGGTGCTGGGCTGCCAAGAGCATATGTGCTACTGTTGCCACTTATATGTTAATTATACTTCTGAAGTGGTGCCAAGGATAGCCGCGTAAGCTGAGTCTGGCACTTGTTTACTCTTGACTCAGAACCTGGATCAGCCAAATGATATTTCTCCTGCAGCTCTGCATGAAGAGGTGTGAATTCTGCACTTAGCTGCATGTAGGTCTCGCTTCACTCAGGGTAGCAATAACAAATAAATGTATCAAAATAAAATGGGGGCAACTTAGAGACATGCCCCCAGAGAGCTGTGAACGCAGTTGCTCTGAAATTAGCAGGCATCCATTGTATTCTGTGGGATTGTGCCATTCTCAAATTGGGAACATTGCATTAAGACAGGGCAGGGGATTCATAGGCCTCAGCCTCATTTCCGTAAAGCCCCTTGCTGCTCCCCTTGTGGCTTACACCGATTTGTTCTTGACCTGGTTTTGGATCACTGATGGTCAGCTGGCAGCCAAAGAATTCCCTTCAAGAACAGAGTTGTACAAGTGAGTCCTCCTCTTGGTCTGTGCTGCATAGGCAACACAAAGGCTGTCATTGCTAGGGTTTCCTCTAACACCAATACACAGGCATGGGGGGGAAACCCCCAAAATATGTGCCGTGTCCACTAGGTGATTTGGTTCCACTGAATCTGTTCTGATGGTGTCCTCCTGCATTCCCCACCCCTACCATCTTCCGTTGAATTCCTGTGTAGTTCCCTCATCCTCATGATGGAAATCATGTTCCTGCAGCTCCAACTCATGAATGAGGCAAGTTTGTAGCCCTCCTCTTTGGCCCTAAAACTGCTTTTACCTATAAGCCTCTTTGAGTCCCATCAAGGAAAAAGGCAGCCATAAATCAAGAAATAATAGCAGCAGCAGCAACAGCAACAGCAACAACAACAACAGGGAATGCCTCTCCAGATTCCCATGAGTACTCCATTGCTCTATATAAAGACGTCAGCTTCCTAGCTGCTTGATGCAAAGGCAGCCCTGTATCTGGAAGGTTTTTTTATGTTTGATGTTTTACTGTGTTTTATGTATGCTGTGGGCTGCCCAGAGTGGCTGGGAAACCCAACCAGATGGGTGGGGTATTATTATTATTATTATTATTATTATTATTATTATTATTATTGACCATAAAGAAGGCTGATCACTGTAGAACTGATGCTTTTGAATTATGGTGCTGGAGGAGACTCTTGAGAAGATCAAACCTATCCATTCTTAAGGAAATCAGCCCTGAGTGCTGACTGGAAGGACAGATCCTGAAGCTGAGGCTCCAGTATTTTGGCCACCTCATGAGAGGAGAAGACTCCCTGGAAAATACCCTGATGTTGGGAAAGATTGAGGGCACAAGGAGAAGGGGATGACAGAGAACGAGATGGCTGGAGAGTGCTGTCGAAGCTACCAACATGAGTTTGACCAAACTGCAGGAGGCAGTGGAAGACAGGAGTGCCTGGCGTGCTCTGTTCCATGGGGTCACAAAGAATCGGACACGACTAAACAATATTATTATTATTATTATTATTATGGCTTAAGGAAGTGGTCATTTTAATCTGTCAGCATACTTTGGACAAGAACTGGATTACCAAAGGTATTTAATGGCCAAACTAGATACCAGAGGGACTCATCAGTAACTGATGTGCTGTGCTGCTTTTGCACCATGCTGAGATTCAGCTTTCGGGTGGTCAGGTGAGTGTCACTGACCCACCACACTACCGACTGCTGAGACTCGGTCATTTTCATTTTGTCAGAGACAGGGTGCTACCAGAATTACACCAGGAGCAGGAAGCATTAAACCTCAATTTCCCACAGGCCGCAGTCCAGAAAAAAATAGGAGGGGGCATGTGTTGGGGAATTTGGGTGAAGAAGAAGAAGAGGAAGAGGAGGAGGAAGAGGAAGAAGAAGAAGAAGAAGAGGAAGAGGAAGAGGAAGAGGAAGAGGAAGAGGAATAAGAAGAAGAAGAAGAAGAATTTTCAATTTACGGTAAATACTATCCTTTATCAAAAGATTCCAGGGTGGTGTGCAACATTAAAAAAAATTACAGAACATCAGTGATAAAAACATAAACAGCATAGTAAAAAACATAATGACAGACAGCCTAGCAATAAAATAATCCTCATAACAGTCCTCTTCCCCACACTTTTGCAGACCATTATTTAACAGCCATAGGCCGTGGGTAAAGAGGAATATTTTTGCCTGGCACCTAAAGACATGTATTTAGCATCATATCTACTTCGAGCCTAAGGGAGAAACACTGTGGTCACATGAGCAAATGGAATGCAAGTTTTGCTTTCACTTCCACTACTTTTCTGAAATGGAAACTGCCCCCCCCCCCCGCCCAATATATATGCGAACCTGCATATACAGATTAGGGCAGGCATGGCCAAACTTGGCCCTCCAGCTGTTTTGGGACTACAATTCCCATCATCTCTGACCACTGGTCCTGTTAGTTAGGGATGATGGGAGCTGTAGTCCCAAAACAGCTGGAGGGCAAGTTTGGCCATGCTTGGATTAGAGGCTGACTACATCTTACGCTTAAAAGTAGCCCAGTTTGGAGGCTGAAGGTTCTGTTTGGACAACTGACAATCGCAAAAACTTGCGAAGCTTTGCCTTAGTGCCAAGCTGAGAGAGAAAAAGATACTGCTGGGCAATTAGCTTTCTCATCTAATTTCCCCTGCTTCTCAACTGCTTGGGGAAATTAGCTGAGTGAGATAACAAAAGATATATTTTGCTGTATTTATTTCTTCTAAATGGTATGCTGCCTTGCTGTCATAGATGGCATTCAAAATCTTAGAGATAATAGGAGATGGCAATAAAATCAGAGAACATGTCCTGCTATGAAAACAGGAAGAGTAAAATTGCAGGTAGTCAGTAGGAGCAGGCTAGGTCCCATAATCACCACCCCCTTCAAAAACGCCTGAGTCAATAGGACAGATTCTGCATGGTGTCTAAAAGATAATAAGAAAGACAGTAGGTGGCTCTCCCTTGGGAGGACCCTTGAAATGCTTGTCTGGATGGCAGAATATCATCCTCTGACATCAATATCATATATCATTTAAACACTGCATGCCACATGCCATAGCTCAATGGCAGAGCAAATGCTTTCCATGCAGAAGGTCCCAGATGCAGCATTCCTTGACATCTCCCAGTAGGTAGGGCTGGAAAAACTCTTGTCTGAAACCCTTGAGAACCAGTGCCAGTACACTGGCTGGTCTAGCTAGTTAGTGCTGAACTCAATGAGCCGACTATGTCCCTGCCTACGAACAGTCCACAAATGCAGAACAGAAATGTACATTTTTACACTCCAAGAACCACACTTGCCTTTTCAGCAATTTTTTGCTCTCCTTTGCTGAGGCAGATGGTCTGACAACAGTCCCTTGCACATCCAGGAAACTCTTGAATCGTGTGGTGGCCCATAAAGTACGTGCAATGGATGGCCAAGTGATCAAGCACACTGGCATCAGGTTCAGCGATGTGGCTCTTTTTCGTAACGATGGCATTCATCTTTCCAATTGTGGAGATGATGTATGGTTGGCCAATATCGTCAAGGGCATTAGGAATTGGTTGCAGCTGTGAGGGTATTTGACAGTGATCCTTTTTGGATCGGGTGGTGGTTAGGCATCGAAAAATGTGTTGTGTGTTGGAGGGGAGGTTGTGGCCATCACCTATCCCTCTCCTTGAAGGGTATTCCATTAAAGGAATCCGGTGGTTGTGGTTCCTGTCCGATGCCCAGGTGGTGCCTAGGGCCATGGCAATACCCTCTGATGACTCTAGGGGAAGCTTCCAGTTGATTTGCATCAACAAGCTCCCCCTACAGATTGTTAACCCTTGTGTGATTCCCTGCAGAGCAGGCAGGAGTCAAGTATAGTCTGTTCGGATCCAGTACCTAAGCCAATACAGTGGTACCTTGGGTTAAGAACTTAATTCGTTCTGGAGGTCCGTTCTTAACCTGAAACTGTTCTTAACCTGAAGCACCACTTTAGCTAATGGGGCCTCCTGCTGCTGCTGCCGCCACACCGCCGGAACACGATTTCTGTTCTCATCCTGAAAAAAAGTTCTTAACCCGAGGTACTATTTCTGGGTTAGCGGAGTCTGTAACCTGGAGCATCTGGAACCTGAAGTGTCTGTAACCCAAGGTACCACTGTACCACTCACATTCTGTAACCAATAAAGTTGTGGCCTTTTTTAGCCCATTAACCTAAAATACTTGTCTCCATGTGTCTTATTTCATCACAAAGTGAGGAGCGGGGCTTCGACTCACAAATACTCTTGTCTGAAACCCTTGAGAACCAGTGCCAGTCATTTTCCACTGGCTGGTCTAGTTAGTTAGTGCTAAACTCAATGAGCCAACTATGTCCATGCCTACGAACAGTCAACAAATGCAGAACAGAAATGTACGTTTTTACACTCCAAGAACCACACTTGCCTTTTCAGCAATTTTTGCTCTCCTTTGATGAAGCAGATGGTCTGACAACACTCCCTTGCAATGGCCTGGTTACACTTGGATGCCAAACTGCTGTAGAAGCAGGCGGGATACACTTTGGGAAGGAGTTTAATCTGTTGTAGATGGGGCTGCACTCCCTCAAAAGAATTAGGAGCTCAGTTTTAGGGTTCTGATAGTGTCACTGGGTTGCTCTGCCAACTAGCTTTCCAGTCTGGTGGTGCCATTGTTGAATCCCAAATGGATATATGATAAGTCATCACTCATTCATGAGTTGTGGATGAGCAGGTTCACCTGGTGTGCAATAGTAAGGACTAGGTGGGTGAGCTGATTGGAATAGATCTGATTCAGTTTTATCCCTCCGGTACCAACAGAGGTTGAAGAGCCAGGGGATGTTGTGTTTTCTATAGGGATTCCATCTCACCAGTCACCACAGAGGGTTGTTCCAAGGTGATGGATCAGAGGGACAGCATGGGGATTTTGCTGGTGTACTGACCACTGCCCATCAGTCACCCCACCCAAACTGAGGGGGCATGGTCTTTGTGGTGCGGTTGGAGAAGGGGCTGTGTATCACCAGTAATAGAGATGACATCCAGCTCTGTTTCTCCCAGTCATGTGGCTCAGGGAGGTTGTCCTGGTGCTGGACTAGACTAGAGGCAGTGGTAGGCTGGATGAGGAGCAGTAAACCGAAGATGATTTCTGACAATACAGAGGTGCTGCAGGCTGCTGCTTCTTGAGTTTAGGAACTAACTAGGTGGGTGAGGAGCAGGTGGGTACTCTGAGGGTACTCCTTGATGCAATATTTCATTGCTGGCCCAAGTAGAAAGGGGTGCTTATTTTCAGCTTCATCTGTTCCCTAGCTATGCTCTTTCCTGGTCAGATATAGCTTCATCACAATAATTCATGTTCTGGTAACTTCCTGCCTTTATTACCACAATGTGGTCTACACAGGGTTACCATTAATGGCAATTCAGAAGCTTCAGTTTCTGCAAAATTCGACTGCCAGTGTAGTGGTTGGTTCAGCTGGCTGGAACTATACAACACTGGTTCTGAAGAACTTGCATTGGTTGTCTATATGCTACTGAGTCACATTAAATGTGTTGTTGTTTTTTTTTTTGGGGGGGGGGGTTATATTAAAAAGCCCTGCACAAACTTGGACCGGGTTATCTGTATTGTCATGCCTGGGCTTTAAGATCTGCTTGCCTCGGATGAACTGCCCAAATACAGTGGTACCTTGGGTTAAGAACTTAATTCATTCTGGAGGTCTGTTCTTAACCTCAAACTGTTCTTAACCTGAAGCACCACTTTAGCTAATGGGGCCTCCTGCCGCTGCTGTGCCGCCGCTGTGCCACCGCTGCACGATTTCTGTTCTCATCCTGAAGCAAAGTTCTTAACCTGAGGTAATATTTCTGGGTTAGCGTAGTCTGTAACCTGAAGTGTATGTAACCTAAAGTGTATGCAACCCGAGGTACCACTGTATTGGCTGCCTTTTCCCTCTTACCTTTGGAGAGAAGGCAGGTATAGTGTTGGGGTCAAATTTGGCCTGGGTGGGTTCAGGGATGAAAAAGGATGCAGAACTGCTTTCACTACCACCTGTGTTTAGGGGTGAGCAGTGGCAGTAGCACACCTTCCCTTGTTGGCTGCCATCCCCTCCCCTCTCAAAAAAGAAGAGGGGGAAGCCCTTTTCTGTGCAACACTATGTCATGATGATGCAGGACGTGCTTCTGTAAAAGAAACCTTTTGCTTCCTTGTGCCCCTCCTCCCAATAAAAATTGCTGAAATGTCCCCTGCACTGCATAGGTAAAGGTAAAGGGACCCCTGACCATCAGGTCCAGTCGTGGCTGACTCTGGGGTTGTGGCGCTCATCTCGCTTTATTGGCCGAGGGAGCCGGCGTACAGCTTCCGGGTCATGTGGCCAGCATGACTAAGCTGCTTCTGGTGAACCAGAGCAGTGCACGGAAACGCCGTTTACCTTCCCGCCAGAGTGGTACCTATTTATCTACTTGCACTTTGACATGCTTTTGAACTGCTAGGTTGGCAGGAGCAGGACCGTCGTGGGGATTCAAACCACTGACAAGTCCTAGGCTCTGTGGTTTAAGCCACAGCGCCCCATTCTCCCCCCCCTGCACTGCATAGAGGGTGACAAAAATGTGAGGGGGCATTTGGGATCAACCCTAAGCAGGGAGAGACAGGTGACAGCCCCCCCTATTTGTGGCACCCCATTGTGGAATGCCCTCTTCAAGGAGGACTCCCCTGGCACTGAGCTCCATGTCCTTGTTGCAGCTGGTAAAAATGAAAGATGATGATAATGATAAGTAGTAGTTTTTGTCGTTCTTCAAGGATTTTACTGCTCCGTTTTCCCTGTAAAAACATTTTCTTCTGTTGTACACTGCTTTAGTTATTGCTGCTGGTTTCAGTAATTCTTGATATAATTGCTATGTTTTCATTATATAAGCCACTTCAAAAGTATGTAGAATAGAAAAGGAGGCATTTTTTGGGGGGGA